GAATTAAGTATTTCTAAATGAATGTCCCTCAAAGGGAAACAACTCCCTTTTATAGGGTGTTGGAAAACGTGCCCAGTATTAGGTTTTAGTAAACCTAGGGCTGACTGGGCCTTGCCTAGGAATTTAGGTTGTGGTAGGCCACTTTCCTAGTTGGAAATTCTGCCTGCCACGTGTCGTGACCTGATTGCTCCACCTTGGACCCCTCACAAGGTGACACGTGGTGGGCTTTGGTTGGTCCACGTGGATGACACGTGGCAGGGCTTCATTGGTCCACGTGGCGGGGAAAAATCCCCTAATTGTATATCGCTCATTATAACTATCGGAACTTCTTTCCTCGACCATGAGTATTGTAAGTTCTCTTGTTTAAGTACTAGTCCATTTTGATGTTGTCAAACGTTTGCCATAAATGGGGATTATAACGGCAACACTCGGGTGCCTAGGTCCTCTTAGTAAGGGAAGCTAACAATGCAAGACTGGGAATGTCCCCCTATTAACAATAGGGAACATGTCTTTGTTGTTTACAAGGCCTCTCGAAGAGCGAGACTGTGAAAATGCATGGCCGTGATGGATTTTAGAAATCATCTGCTTATTGACAGTCGAACTCAGAAATCGAGAAACACGTCTGGACGTAATAAAGATGACGAAGAATCTTACCTTATAGTTCATGAAGAGACATTAAGTGACATAGGAAATAGGCTATACACTAATAGCGCACTTGTCCGGAAGGACAAGTGGGAGATTGGAGATTGAAAGGAATGGTGTCCTTCGAACAAGTCTATTATCCCGATAGAGGGCTCGGAATTATTAGAAAGCTAATTATTCAATGAGGTCAAGTGATCGGAATGCCTAGCTAGAGGCCGCTTCCAATCAGTAATATTAATGCATAATTAATATTACAGGTTAATTTTGACTGAACCCTTCGAGTCACACCCAATCGAGTAACCAAACCGTAACAACGAATTAATACAAAGGACTAAATGAGTCATTAGAGTATTACGAACAAAGACGTCAGATATCAAGCTTAGAGCGTCGAAACCGAGCGTCGTAAGTCGAGTCGAATTTAGAATTCGACGAGACGAGAAATCAAGCAAACGACAATTTTAAGCTAAGTCGTAGCTTCGCATTGGCCTAGCCATGCGAAGTCTAGGCTAGCATAGGGCACCTACCGCATCGCATGGCTGTGCCGCAAGCCAAACATGCATGTGCGTGCTAGGCTTGCTGGCCGAGCATGCTTGCGGGGCTGGTGCGCCTAGTTGCTCGCAAGCTAGCACCAGCGCTCGTGGTTGGGCTAGTAAGGGCGTGGCAGAACGTGTCTTATAGGCAGCGAGGGTCTAGCTAGCCTGCTAGGCCATGCGAGCAGCAAAGCCGCACAGCACGAGGCCCGGCACGTAAGCTAGCCTGTGCGTGTGCTGGTTGTGCCGCACAGCAAGGCTGGCAGCCAGCCAGGCCTTGCGCCAATGCCCAGCCACTGCTTGTGCGTGTGAGAGCCTATGCATGTGGAAGCATGTGTGTGTAGGTTTTCTTGGGGAGCAAGGGGAGGGTGGTCCCCGCCTTGTAGTCCTCACCTAACCCCTTGCTCACCACTTGACACTTGTCGTTTGTTGATTCATTTGCATTTCAATTTGATTTTTACATTAAATTAAATTGAATAAAATGTATTTTACCAACTCTCCCACGTTGATGGGAGATTGGAATTCAAGGGCTCCCTTCCCTATAAATATCAATCATTTGGCATTGGGAAGGGACACTTGAATTGTGAACTTTAAGGGATCTCCGAGAAGAGAAAACCTTTGTTCTAATACTCTAAGTTCTTTTGGTCTAGCCCCAACTAAGCTTCGGGGTAGGGACCGTTCGGGTTGGGTCTCGAGGGTGAGAGTCGTTGGAGGCTTGCGCATTTGTAGAGCTTTACGCTTTCAAGTTTGGGGAAAAAGCTCTAAAAGGAGCGAAGCACGCATCAAGGGTATGATCGTCTTTCTCTCTCTCTTTGTTAATTAATTATGTGATTGGTAATTAATATGCATGTTTAGTTACTTTAATTTGTGTGCGGAGGGTTTCATTCCGCGTAGTGTTGGACACTACAAAACCTAACACAAAGATCGTTAGTACCTCTAACTATGATATAACGACGACCCAAAAGAACGAACTTAATTATCTCCATAATTTGATCCATTATATATCTGGTAATTGCACTTGACAAAGACATAAATCCTTCAGGAACATATAATAATAAAATCCTACAAGGAAATTCTATAACACATAGAATAATAACCTCCCCCCTTCCCCCCTAACATGAAAGCATTAAGTCCAAATTCAAAACATAGTCAAACTTGGAAAAAAGAAATGTGTAAACATATCTCCATGATACCTCTAGGAAGTTACCTTAGTGATCGACAAAGAGCAACCCAATGATCGCCACTTGGATTGTATGTGCATCCACTAAGTATTTTGAACTTTATAAACACATTTGGACCCTTGTTTTTCACAAGCTTAGATTCGTGTTGGCATCGTGTAGAAATTTGCTAAGCACAAAAAGAAAAATAAAATTTCCTTAAAAGGTACTTTCCACATAATAGATCGAGAAACCGATATTGGTTTCTACAAACAAATACCAAGAATAATCCAAATTGAACCACGTAAGAATATTTAGGTACAAAAACATGAAATAATATATTTAACAATGAACGCTTGAAAAAACCCTCTTAAGGTGGGAACTAAAGGGCGAATAATCTGATCTTTAAATTAAAAGAAAAATAATTCAAAATATTACACCACAAGATTAACACAACTTATTTGTTAACACATCAAAACATCGAAATGATAGCCACCAAAGAAAATTCAAAAGTAAAATAAAAATTAAACATTTTAATTTGTAGCCAACGAGAGTTATATCACACAACTAAATGTCACAAGAAGTAATAATATATAATCAAAATATTCTTCTAGGGATAAAATCATTCTCTTCATAAATAGTACGGAGTATCACATATTTTCCATTCAAAAACTTCACTCACTTGAGTTGATAAAAGTAACACAAGTTCATGAAAAATGGAAATATACAAAGTAAGCATTTAGCATTTGAGCATGAACAAAGTTTACACAGAGCAAGACATATATTTATCAACATATTTGCGCTATAAGTAATAGACTTTGATATCATACTCAACCTAATTAACGCAAAATTCATGGTAATACATACATACAACATAGAAGCATGTAAACATTATGAAGAAACAACTTGCTAATAAAGTTTATTATAAAAGCAAGAGCATAACAAAAACTTTCATAATGAATAACAATACATTGCTTCAAAACTCCAATAAAATTGATAATTAAAACAATTAGGGGTATCTCTAAATACTAAGTCCAAACACAAGTATTAAACCAAGAAAAGAGATAAACATACCATGTAGTATCACATGTATATAACATGGATTAAATATAAGATTCATTCTCATAATCATTCATGATTGACAAAAACCACAAAGCATATATTTGTCAAGAAGATATTAGAAATCAAACCACATGCTAAACATAACCATTAAAAGATTTAGTTTAAGATCAACCTCCCTTGAATTAAATCAAGTTATTTAAATGAGCTTCCTCATGACGCCCAAACATCCTCTCCAAAAACGTAGCTTAAAGATGTGGTCATAATTCTCAAATGTGAGCAACTATCAACGATCCGACCGTTGAAAATGAAGCCTTATATGTTTCAAACAAGCTCCCAAAATTTCAGCAAAAACCGACCATGGATAACTTTCAATCGGGGGTCATCTTCAAGACTGTTCCCAGGAAAACGTGAACAAAAATATTTTTCAAAAAATATTTTTTTTTTTTCACACCATACAATCTTTCAACCAATACCCGCTGTAAAGCCATTGAAAATAGATAATTTTGTTTTTAAATTGTTGTAAATTAAGTTGTTTTCTAGGCTACATGTAAGATATAAATAATAAGATTGAAAAGTTAATCTTATAATCAAAGGAACAAATTCGGTGTGCCGTGATGCAAATCATTGACTTAAAAACGAAATTTCGATGCAACCATTGTGCTTAATTGTATTCGTCGGCATATTCCCTAAGGTTCACAAATTACTCTCACACAAAGACACTTTTAAGTGAATAGCGACAGGTTGGAGTCATATAAACTTATGCCCAAAAAAGAAGAAATGTGTTTAACACTTTTGTAGATATGTATAATGTGTGTAGTATATCTTTTGTGAAAGAATTCCAAATTTATAGACTATGTAAGGAAGATAAAGAGGCAAATGTAACCTCTCCGACAATTGAATTAATCAGAATAAAGATAAAAATTAATCACCATGAACACCTTCATAAAGGAGGGAGTTACACAAGAGGTTACAAATCAAGAAGAATCCAAAGAGAGTATCCAAGGAGAAAACCGTTGGAGTCTAACGGTCGACCCCACGCCCGATCGGGCGGCCTGGCCCGATCGAGCAAGCATCCAAAGACAACGCCCTCGCACTCGACCAGGTGAGAGCAACGTCTATTTCCGAACCCGCTCTTGCGCCCGACTAAGCGAGCGGGGCTCCAATTTGTACGTCTCTTTTCGTGCCTGATTGGGCACAGCTAGCCCGATCGGGCAAATGCTCGACAGTCAATTTCTTACTTTTCTTTATTCCAACAACTTTTTGTGGTTGTCATTGGATTTATCCCTTATTTGTGTGATCGGTTAACGGTTTACTTGCATGCAAAATCTTAAAACTTGTTGGCGGCTCCTTACTTTTTCCCTTAATATGTTCCCATCAATTAAAGAAAATATCAACCCTATTTGCCAAACTGGCTCAAACGTGTCAATCCGTGTAGGGAAATCCAGACCCTTAAAGCAACCATGATTTATAGTTACTTTGCTAGGAAACAATCAATTTTAAAGTATACTTTCAGTTGAAGAGCCTAATCTAAAGATTGAGAATAGTGGTCACTTCACTAAAACTATATCTCATGATCAATTATAAACACCCCTAATACATATTTACATTCAGATTTATTTTTATCATCCGTTCACATATGTAAGTCACAGTTCTTGAAATACTTCTGTAATTTCTGGCTCATATGTTGAGTAAATAGGACAGCAGTAGCGAAATACTTAAAACTTTCCGGGGATTGGATTGTAGCATCCTTAGTAAAGAACCCTAAGTGGAGCTGCATATCATCATGGATAATGATCTGAAACATTGTCTATCTGGAAAACAACCCGTGGTTTTATATGTATATAAACCAGTGTAATTTTGTTTCTGATTTTTACTTATCACTATGCTTTTATTTGTACAAATTTTTATTAACTATGAAAATCAAAATGAATATGGGTGCTATTACAACTCTTTAACATTCTAAGTGATGAGACCTCATACTTGCTAATACCAGTAGCCTCTTGCTCTGCCACACTGGTATGTCACAGGCATCGAATTTCTGCAGTACTGATTTTACAAGGACATTCCTCAAGTGTCTTAACTACATTTAGGTTAACTGCAAATACAAAATTGCAGTCCCGCAGGAATTTCATCAGTGTTCGTCAGTTTATATTTCTTAATCAGGAGGCTATCAAATCGTCTTCATGAATTTTGGAAAGCTTTTACACCATGACCAAGATTCTGAGGGGGATTTTGGCAAAGGTGGAAGTAACAATGCCTTTCGACAGAGACCAAATGGCCAGCCCTCACAATGACAGACTTCCTGGATGATTGCACGCCTCTTAACTTCAGAACTATCCAAAGTTTCTGAAACCCACCACCTACTTTCTGCTAAATCCGGGTCTTTCAAGGTTGAGCAGCATGAGAAATCGGTTTTCACCGAGAAATAAACTTCACTATCATCAACAGCAGTTGCAAAGCACGGGGAGAAGTGGCTGTTGACAGATGCAAAATCATCCATTTCTTCGTTATCTTTACTGTTTTCCTGCTGTGCAGAATGATCATCATGCGCCTGTTGTTTTGCTTTGCTGACAAAGAGCACTCCGGATTTTGGATGAAGAACGAATGAGTAGTTATCGTTCAGCATGCTTCCTTTTCTTTTAAACCTGGCCTCCATTGCACGGCTACGGATCATTGAGACTACTACCTGCACATAAAATACCCCAAAAGAGATACAATTAAAACAAAAAGAAAGCTAGTAACTATGACATATAAGCCATTGCATAAAAATTAGAATGAAAATATAGGATATAATGCAGCTACTATGTACTTCCTGCACATCGTTGAAATCAGTGATGGGAGCCTCTTCTTCTTCAGGAACGGAGCAAGATAGACTGCTTTGGTTGCAATTACAGCAATTGGAAAACGGATCCTTCAAGATTGAAGAGAACAATCTGCACCTCTTAGCAGAATTCGATAGATGTTCCAGACAGAATATCGCCATTTCTTTCTGGCTTGTATTCTGGGAATGAGGCTTTCAAGTTGAAGGAAATACTACCTGCTCAGCTAAGGTTCATGACAGTTTAATATAAACCATCTTCTGAATGTTGAAATGTAACTGCTAGTCTTATTCAGAATCTTGAAATGTCCAATCCTTTGGTGTAAAGACAAAGTATTAACGAAAATGACGGATTTATATCTAAATAGTTCACCTTAACCTTTTTCTGACCATTAATGTATCAGCTGAAAATTGCATAAAGCCTAATACGTATATTTCTTGGAACAGTTACTTCTAAGTTGATCTGTATATATGTGCAGTTTTCATCTCTAAACTTCAAGGTAAAGTTAAATGTTACAATAAGACAAGGTACCTAACAGTCTATTTGTATTTTGTTGGGTTTTTCCTAAGTGGTACAGGTACACCATTTATGTAAATTATCTAGAATTAAAAATAATCAGTAAGACATTACCATTACAACAACCCAGATAAATTTTGTTTTGACAATGACTAACCACTACAACAACCATATAATGGGAAAATTGACAGAAGTTCAAAGGGTAGATTGAATCTTTTTGGACCATTATGTTGAACAATATATCTCAGATCTTCAGCTCCCTGATACAGGTATGTACACTTGACACTTCGATTTCAACCAAGTATATTATCACGTCTGACACTTGGATGCATAATAATAGTGTCAGACACCAATAGCCAGATTCATGTAACATAGGTTGAGCATGTACGTGAACTTTTATAAGGATGAACAAGGACAGCTTTTCCCTAAACTTCATCTGAGACTGATCAGACTTCTAGACCTTGATTGCAGACCTACCAGCAGACTCCATACACTGATGCACTGTCCATTAAGAAACAGCAGCTTGATTCAAACTGGCTCCATGAAAATGCCAGTCACCTCTAATAAACTAATTTCTCGTATATTTAAAGACACAAAAATAAGCACAAATAAGAATCCACTATGTTCGAGTTGCTTTAACTGAAGGTATGAGATTTAAATGGAAAGGAATCCTGGAATATTTCAGAAATAAGTCCTGAATCACGAAATTATTCATATTTTGCACATATATTATCCACTCTGCTCAAGATACTTTAGCTGAAGCTGCATATGATATTTCAGGAAGAGCAATCATGAAATGTTTCATAAGAACAACCTTCCTTGGGTGCAGAAATATATTCCAATATGATTCTGTAAAGCTATCTATGCTTTTATTACATGCTTAACCCCATTATATCTACAATAGTTAGTCATGACCTGTTTCTGTAAGTGACCAAAAGAAATCCAAAGTGAAATTAATTTTTTTGCAACCAGATACGTTTTTAACTGCTAACAAGACAATAAAACCATCTGTAATTTCCGATCAATTCTAGGAGACCGTCTAACAAGGCACTGGTAACCAAATAACAATATAGGTTTTATCATTTCCAAACTCCCAAAATATTTTGCGCAGGTAAACGTCCTGACTCCAAGAAAAGGAATGTACACTACAGAATAAAGCAAACAAGCCGACAGAGTAGTTGTCAGTATATCAAGCAAAAATTCTACAAGTTCTTTTTCTCCATATTCTACAAGTCCTCCAAGTCAATCAGAGTCATATATTCCAGATGAAACATATATGACAAATACAGCAAAGAAAATACTCATACGCACTAAGGATAAAAAGTTGCAAATAAACTGATGAGGTAATTGCCAGATTATCAAGTAAAATGCTATGCACTCCTCTTTCATCTTCATTTCATGTACTGTAGCTCAATTAGAGTCACAGCCTCTCTATATATACAAGATACTGTGGTTTTCAGAATCCATAAATCATGTGAAAACACAGACGCAGAGCGAAACTTATTCGGCAATAATAACAAAGAAAATACCACTATTGGTCCTATTGGAAGAAGTTATAAACAAGATGATGAAGTAATTCTAGATTATCAAGCAAAATGCTATATATTCCTCGCTCATCTTCAGGTCAGATATTGCAGCTCAGCTAGAGCCGCAGCCTCTATATATACAAGAAACAGAAACTACACACTCACTAGGGATATAACTTGGGGACAGGCTACAAAATAGTTTCCAGAATATCAACCAAAATGCTACAAATTCTTCTTGTTTTTCAATTTATTACTGCTAAACAAGAGTCACGGCCTCTCTAATAAGTATACACAAGAAACAGATTGTTGCAGATAAAATCTAAAGATCATGTGTAAATAATGGAATTTCACATCACTATCATCCTGTAAAGCAATACTAATTGTCAATTTTGACTGGTAGTACAAATGCAATATTCTAGCTAAGCAGTCACCAAAACAAGCAGCCAAGAAACACATATCCTAATTAACATGGTGCGAAAATTTCACTTGGAAGACTTCTGAAGCTTTTGTGCAGTAAAAGAGATAAGCGACCGAATTTTGGCAACAGCATCAATTTGATCAGGAGGACATTTTGACAGAGAAATATGCAAAGATTCAAGCCCTGCATCAACCTTACCCTCAGACAATGCTGCACACCCCAACTGATAAGCTTCCTCAGCAATGTCTGCATCATACACAGAAACTGAACCTCGAACCGAGCCATTACCCCTCATTAACGAAGAACCGAGGCGTGCAGTAACCTGAGTATATTCTAATGCAGCTATAGCTGCATTTATCTCTGCCATAAGAGCATCCGGCGACGAAGGCAGAAACTTCACAGTATCAAATACACTCCACCCAACACTTCCTTCATTAGAACCCATGTCTACAATACAACAAATACCCTTAATTATGCTTCCATTACACAAATGATTAAACTACCCACATTCGGGTTCGGGTATCTTTGTAATCCTGCAAATCAAAATAAGAATAAACAGATTTAATAAGAAAAGCTTAATTGACTAAGAACAGTTCAGTTAAACATTCAGTTTTTTATCATCAAATCTTTAATTACTTGTAATTAATTGCTTAATTTTCCATTTATAATTCACCCATAATCTCTAATAATTTGGTTACAAATGAGGTAAAATATGGAGAAACCCAACACAATTACAATAACAAATTAATAAATTCAGTACTAAAACATACAAATTTTTCAAAAAATTTATAACAAAATACAGCCATAACCATTCTTCCCCCAAATTTTTTTTTTAAAATGAAGAAAAGGAAAAAAAGAAAATACCCATTTATAAGACTATATTATTATCCAATTTCCCACAAAAAAAAAATGGTAAATTGGAAAATTTATGACTTACAAAAGCAGGAAGCAGAATGGCCGGAGAAGCAGTGAGTTGAGACGGCAGTAGGTGGGTGTTTGGGTGGGCGGGGAGAGGTTGTGGTAAGTGCGCGTGGGTCGGCAGGAGTGCGAGAATGTTCGAAAACGGGCGGTGGTCACTAGGAAGTGGTCTTCTTCAACTCTTCACTTTGCCGCCAAGTTATGCTGTTAGTAGTAATTTATTACTCTAATTAATAACAATTTACTCCCTCCGTCCCATATTATATTCACTGTTTTCTATTTGTAGATCCAAAATGGGTTTGTTTCTATTTCTATATTTGGATAGTATGTAAAAATTATTATACCCTCATTTTTTTTATATTTTTATTCATTGTATTTTCTAAATTACCCTTGAATTTCTCACTCCTTGTACTTTTTTTCATTTTCTCTCTCTAACTTTTATCTATAATTATACTTTTCACTTTTTTTTTAATGTACCTCATCCACTTTCTCCACATATTTCTTAAATACCGTGAAAAATACAAACATGAACTATATTTGAAGATGGAGGGAGTACTTCATATTTTTTTCGTCTACAAAGACTAAAAAGTCAAAAGACGAAAAGTCTTTTTTTTTTTTTAAGCAAGTCTATACAGAGTTTTAAAAGGCAATGATGTAGAGGTGATCAACATCGGCCCGATCCGGCTCGAAAATAGGACGGAGTTGGGCAATCCTAAAAATGCTTTTTTAGTTAAAAGCCCGAACCCAGCCCGAAAAGCCCGCTTTGGCCCGACAAGCCCGCTACTTTTTTGCGGGTTTAGACACGACGTATCATGTTAAGGCCCGACCTGGCTCAATTTTTTTATCACCTCTACAATGATGTTAACAAAGAGAGAAGGTATTGAGTGCGGAGTACCGCACGCAAATTTGCGTGCGGCAGGCTTGGCTGATATGTTTCACTTATTGGCTGATATGTTTCATGTGTTGGCTGATATGTTTCATTTGTTGGATAATATGGTTTTTGTGTTGGCTAATATATTCCTTTTGTTGGCTGATATGTTTTTTTGTTATTTTTTTATATATTCCTTTTGTTGGCTGCTATCAGACATCAGTTGGCTGATATGTTTCTTTAGTTGGCTGATATCTTTATTTTGTTAGCTAATATGTATATTTTAATTGTTGGCCTATATGTTTCATTTTGTTGGCTGGTATGTTTATTTTGTTGGCTTACTTATTGCTTTTGTCTGCTGAATTCATCCTTTTGTTGGCTGATATGCTTCATGTGTTGGCTGATATGTTCTTTTTGTTGGCTGATAAGTACCTTTTTGTTGACTAATATACTCATCTTGTTGGCAGATATGTATCTTTTGTTGGTTGATATATTCCTTTTGTTGGCTGATACGTTTTTATTAATGTCTGATATGTCCTTAATGTTGACTAATATCAGACATCAATTGGCTTATATGTTACTTTTATTGGCTAATATACAAAGTATATACAAGTACAAACTATTTTTATTTCCTTCTCTCTCCTCTTTCCCCCTCATCCTCTTCCTCTCTTTCTTTCTCTCTCCTGTTAGCAGCTTCTCACGCCACCCTCCTTCTCCTTCGTTCCTCACTTCCCTTCCCTCGACAAATCATTCCGGCCACCGACCCTCTCCACGCTGTTTTTGCAGCCGCCATTCACCGAAACCACCAACCACCACATCACCAGCCGAACCACCAACCACCGAATCCCACCAGTCGCAAATCGCCAACCACGCACCGAACCCACCAACCACCACATCACCAGCCGCAAATCACCAACCACCGACGCCGACGCCGCGCCATTAACACCTCCAATTGTAAGTTTTTTTTCGATTTAGGGTTATTTATTTGTTTTAATTTATGATTTGTTTTGATTTTGGGGATTATTATTTGGGGATTTCGGGGATGTAGATCTGGATTGTGGTTCAATGTGTTTAATTTTGCAGGTGGTGGAAGGATGGAGGTCGTTGCCGCTGTCGCTACCACTCTCATTGTCGCTACCTTCTCCGCCGTACAAACTATTGGGTGCGGACTGCCGCACCCAATAGTTTGTGTAACAAAAATTTGATGACAGGTTAACAAAATTTGATCATGAGTTTTGAGTGCCACAATGGTGTATACAGAGTCATAACTCACAAAGTCACAAAGGGTAGTAGATAAATCCATAATTACTTCATGTAAAAATTTACTACGTACTTTGTTATAAATATAATACAACACAAGGGGATGATTATATTGGGTTACACAAATTCTTATACGTGGTTAGTCACATGGTGTGACCACTTCCTATATAAGCAATTCAGCACGTCTTGTGTGTGGTTGGCCACACCATATGGCCGCTTGTAAATTAACAAAATAACCCTATAATACTGAGTAACCCTTATAATATTGACCGAGTAACCCCTATAGCACTGATGAAGTAACCCATGTAAAATTGACCGAGGAACCCTATAACACTAGGATCAAGGCGTTGAAAGATGGTTAATTGATTAGTCCTTCCATCTCCCCTCGAAAGACGGGGGTTAATCCTCATCCCCCTCCTGTGATAAGAGGGGACTTTCCGTATCTTATCGTAAAAATAAAAAAATAAAAAAATAAAATAAATAAAAATAAAATGGGAGTAGCACTCATTGGAAAAAAAAAAAGAAAGAAAGAAAAACAATTGGGTGTCATGTCATTTCCAACAACCGACTTTTTTTTTTCAATTTTACAAATTCATAGAAATTGGGGATTAGAATGAACCAATCCTTGTCTACCACCTCATTCTCACCTAGTCATCCCCCAATATTTATTGTAAAGAAAGATAAGGGATAAACCTTGTACAACGTTATGCTTTACATTAATGCTTGACTATTATTAGCAAGTTGTGCATGATGTTTTTGTACATTAGTGGTTGTATCATTGCTCAACTCGTCTCAAAACAATGAATTAATTTGTGACCTTACTATCTTGTTTGGTAGGTAATCAATCATGGATGTAATGAAACTAAACTTCAGTTTGATTTTATTTTTTTGCAACAAAAATCTCGTTTGATATATACAGTACTACACTCGTTATGTACAACTGACAATTAAAATATAAAGAAAGTCACATATATTAAGCTGTATGGAATTCTTGGTGTGTCAATCAAAACTGACTTAACCCGAAACAACTCGAGCTAACCTAGAGTAATCCAATCCAGAATTGATTTGCATATGCATAATAATTTAGCTACCCAACTAAATTTGACCAACGACCTAAATTGACACGTCTATCGTAATGTAATGTTGGTGACAAATAATTTAATTATACTTCTTTTGTTTCGAAATACTTGTAACACTTAAGTGCAGGAGAAAGATTAATGTGTCATTCTCTAGGATATTTGAGGTGCGAGAGAAAAATTGATGTGCTTTTTCGAAATGTTATTGACATGTATGAGCTAAAAGACCTTGACCTTAAGGAATAGGTTTTTCATGTGACATAAAGGCAAATCGGTTAACACTTATATTAGGTAGCGAGTTGATCGATTCCTGGCTAATAATTTATGGTGTATGCACTTTCCAAATCTTAGTGTGAAACACTTTCCTATATATAAGTCGGACCATGCATGCCTCGATCCTAGTCATGGCAACAATTACTTTGAATCTTTTTGCACCATCATGTACTCTCTAATATAGATATGTACATTTGACACTTCGATTCCGACCAAGTATATGAAGTCATGTTTGACACTTAGACATGTTCTAGTGTCTGATAGACTGACACCAATAGCAAATTCGTGGAACATATATAGGTTCATGTAAACACCCCATCAAATTCCTTGTCCGATACATATTATAGTATGTAATTCCCGACCCATGTTTGGATCTTTAAATTAGTACATAAATAAATAATAAATTAAAATTTAGTCAATATGGAATGTTTAGCAATGGCTATTTTCTACAGTATTAAAAATCTAGCTTTAAGTACTTCTTCGTGTTAAAAAAAATAATAAAAAAAAAAAAAACTATACTAATGAGAATATAAATATATTAAGGACACATATTTTTATATTTGGCTGGCCACACCGTATAACTGGGATTACTTATTAAAGGGTACTTACTCTGGGCTTACTTATTCAAGGGTTACTCGGTCGATCAGGCATTACTCGATCGGTCAGGGGATACTTATTCAGGGGTTACTCGGTCGGTTAAGGGTTACTCTCACGCAGAACAAGTGCTAACCGACTGAGTAACCCCAGAATAAGTATTTCTTGACCGATTGAGTAATTCCTAAATATATAACCTCTGAATAAGTAACCTCGACGTAAATGCGCTAACCGACTGAGTAACCCCAGAATAAGTGATCTTTGACCGATTAAGTAACCCCTAAATAAGTAATCCTTGAATAAATAATCCCGGTCACACGGTGACACACATCAAAAGCACCGCATTAGGGAACTACTTGTTGTTGTTGTTGTTGTCGTGAACGAAGTATCAAGTTGCTACTTGATCGATTTCTTGCACTAATTGATGGATTTCATGTTAAGTGGCTTGTTTTGTTATTCATAATTTGCAGAAAATCATCAATGGAGTAGTTTATTATGTAGAGGATTATGGAAAAACAGTTAAAAAAAATTTTTTGGGTTTTTTTTATGGTCAACTTAAATCAATGGTCCTAATTTACATAGTGATAATCAAGGGTGTAGATTTCATTTTTGTGGTGGCTACAATTTTATTGTAACTATTGCAAAATTGTCCGTTATCTTAACTTATTCTATTTTGTAAAAACTTCTTTTAATTTATTTGAGTTTTTTGAACTTATTTTGTCTTTTATTTTTTTACAAGTATTTTTCAAAATTATTTGATCATAAATGGTTTTGTTTAAGCTAGAATTGGGAAAAAGTCATGTCGTGTCATGTTCATATTTGGTTTCGTGTTCATTTCATGTTGTACACAAAATCTATCAAAAATTATAGTTCGTATAAAACGTAGAATAATTGCATAATTTGACCAATTTATCAAAAACATCTCATGCTCGAGTTAATTTCATGTCGACTCCGTAATTTGTCTTTGCAATTTCATGTTTGTGTTCTGCCGATTTTAGTCATGTTTTCGTAACATGTCAGAAGTTGCCAACTCTTTCTAAGCTTATTTTTTGATGAGATTATTACTTATTTAAAATAAGATGAAACAAATATATTTTAGGCAACTTTTCTTTGTCTAAACTTCCACAAATCCTCCAAAAACTCCCCGCCAAATCCCTTCTCCCATTCATTCATAAAATCATAATCTGCTAGTGTTACCGCCATTTAATAACCCCAAAACCATCTCCATTTCCTCTCTCCGCCACACTCATCACCTCCAATTCTCTCTCCACTTCCCCATCTCCTCTCCGCCGCAACCGCTGCCACAAAAACCCAAATGAGAGAGATTCCGGAGGACTTCCCGCCAAAACTCTCTTCCGATTCAAATGCGTCTCTCATCAATGTAATTCCTTCATCTCAACTACCCAATTCGCCAAAACCCGTGCTCTGTATCTTTCTTCTCTCTCCTCTACCTCTGTTCTTATCCATGACGATAACTCCCTTTTTGAGGCTCTTGATTACAGAGATTCCAATCTTGATTCCACCGAATTCGGCGAAAATTTTACTGAAATGAGTAAATGGTTGGTTGGTTCTTGTAATGGTTTAGCATTGCTAATTTGTTCATAAGGTAATTGTGAATGTGGTCACTTAGAACTTGCTTTTTGTGATTTTCATTTTCTGGTATATAACCCTGTTCTTGGTTTTGATGCTTTTATTGAGATTCAGAATCCTGATCAATTTCTTATTGCGACTAATGCATTTTCGTCGCTTGAATATAGTTTTGGGTTTGTTATGTTTCGTCCCTTGATGATTACTGAATTGCTGCCATTAATTTTCCTATGATCTCGGATTTTCCTGAGATAATTGTCTTTGTATGTTCTTGTAATTCCAGACTATGGAAGTGCATGGGAACATCGCAAAATAATAAGAAACAGAGACTGTCAAGGAAATTACAGGATGCCTGGTACTGTAAAATTGGAACATTGGTGAAAGAAACTTTACATTGGGGTATTACGATAGAAACGAGTCGAGAATGCATTGCTACCTTTGATTTGGCTACTCAGGACAATTGTAAATCAATGATATTGCCGTATGCCAATTTTGGGGAAGTTGTACTCGGTAACTCTGCTTTTAGTTTGTGCTGTATGGATGATTGCTTGTGCGCTTGGGCGAATTATGGTGATGGAGATGTAGAGATGTGGATGATGAAAGAATATGTAATGCAGGAATCATGGACTAAGCTGTTTCGTTTTAAACTGTCAAGATGAGCTACTGCTTGCTGACTTCAGCCGTGATCCTCCAGAGTATTTGCATATTGGTTTTGTTACCAAATGGCAAGCAGTGAATTACGTTCTGAGCCTGGTATCACCTCTTGCCCTATACTCGGAGCAAAGAAATAGATGATTGTGTTAATATATACATTGTAAAAATCAGTTGCTTGTACATTTGTTATTATTTTGTTATCTCTCTGGAAGTTTGATACAATACGATAATGCAAATTAGTGAATTAACTTAGCTACTTGTCTCTCAAATTATACGCAGTTTACCTGATATTTGCTAGTGAAATGAATACGATTGTTTTCTTGAATTTGCGTATTCTTGTGTTTAATTGAGTTGATTTTCTGAGCCCTAAATAACCTGGCTTAAATGATCCCAGCAAGATAAAATTAACCCCATCCAAAAATCAAAAAGACTAAACTACTCGACAATATATCTGATTTGACCAAATACGATACAAACTTGAACCAGATGAACCAATTTCCATCTGGAATTGTTCCTAAGCAATATGTACTGCAAAATAAAGATGAGCAACAAAGCCTCCCTCACTTTCCATTTAAAGATGCACAACACTTCATTCTTCTCTCCATATAGCCCTGTTGTCAAATATGTTCTATTTGACATAATAACCAAATTTCTGTTACGTCGTAAATTACAGTCAACTTTTGCCAAATGTATCATCCCTTAAATAGCTTCTCAAAAACAGAAGCTACTCTGACAAATGACAATCCATTAATCTGCCTACAGATGAGGTCTTCCATGAAAAACATATTGCACTAGATGTAGTAAGAAAACTAAATATGCTTCTGCTTAAACATCAGGAGTGCAATGAAAAGAATGTAAACCTCCTTGAAACACTAGGAAGCCAACTACGCATGCGACTTATAGAGAAGATGGATCAACTGGACAGGATACTTCACCTGCCCCTTAACCTGTAACCTTAACAGAAATCAACCTAATCTTGCTTCCCTTCTAAGCACCTGCATTGAGACAAGTAAACAGATTAATTAGGACCATAATATTATATCAGAAATAATATTGTGGTCAAACTTCAGCAATTTGCACCTAGTCTCAATACTCGGAGGGTTAATTCATCAAGGTTTGCATGCAGAAAGAAAAACTATACATCTGTATTGTTGGAGAACTAAAACCAAACATATTGAAAACAAGTCCTTGAAGAAAGTAAAGCAAAGGTTGAAGAAGGATAAAGGGAGAGAAAACTCACATTTCAATTATATCATGTTGTGTTTAGTGGCTAACAAGTTAGCCCAAGTATTAAGAAGAGATGGGAGTAAAACATTAAAGTGTCTAAGTTATACTTCATATCAATTAAAGAACGAGGCGGCGAGAGATTTTTAATGTCGGGTTTGGCAAAGTGTAGAGAACGGTTCAAGGCATAATGATGCATAGCTTAGGAGTTTAAGCTATGGGCTATTGCTTGGTGTTAAGCAATGGTGGGTGGCAAAGGGCTGACTTCGGATGAGAGTATCTCAAAATCTAGAGATCATTTTGAAGTGATTCAAGTTAAAGGTGATAGCTTGGCTCAATAGCTTTCCAACGACTGGTCATAAGCTTGTTTTGGAGAAGAAACGAGAAAGTTATTATCGTTTTACAAATTGCTGTCACGCCTGCCAGGTTTGCGCGTCCGCGCAAAAGGGGGCTGGAAATGTGTGTTTTGATGGGAGTCAGAAGACTTTGCCCATCCGCGCAAGGTGCTGCTGTAGCCCGATTTCTGCCACGCGTTATATTATTAGCCGTTGATGTTTTATTTATGCTCGGGGGTATATATGCTCATAGTAAATGTAGAGAGTGAAAGAGAGCCTTAATGTAAAACCCACACACTTAGGGTTTGAGTGTTTGAGGGGGTGAGTTTGGGGTGGGAGCTTTCATGGTGTTTGAAAGCTTGTAATCTACATTGTAATTCCTCAAAGTATTACTCCATAGTGGATTGGTGGGTTTTTCTCCCGGTTCTCGGGTTTCCCATGGTAAATTCTCCTTGTCTTGTTTGTTGCTTGTTTTTTTCGTATTTGTTATTGTTAATGGTCGTTAATCACAAATTAGCTAGCACATTCGTCAATCCTTTCAATTGGTATTAGAGCCAAGGTTATTTTGGCGGTTTTTAAGGGTTAGTTTGTGTGGTATGCTTGTTGTTTGTGATTGGAAAGTCCAAAAATTGAATATTTGGTGTTAAATTTTCAATTTTGGTGTTGTGGGTGTTCAAAGTTTGAGTGTGTAGTAGGGATTTCAGTTGGTTGTTATTGGAATTGAAAAGTCTTGAAATTTGTGTTTAATTAACAATGGAAGACGGAGTAGGAGATTGAAACCTATGGAGTGTTGATGTTGGAGTTGAAGGATATCAAGGATTTCCCCATCTTGATGTCTGGTAGTAAGCTCAACATTGATGGCAACATGTTGTGTGTGAGGGAGGGCCATGGAGAAATTGTTCAGGGAACTCGGTTTGAAGTTTATGGGATAATTGAGTGGTGCCTTGAAACCATGGAAAACACATGGGTAGTCATGAGGGGTGTGTTCTTTGAGGAGGCATGGCTTGGTTGGATTTCCATTGAAGGGGAGCCGTGGTTTCGGTTTAAATGGTGGAAGATGGCCGGGAAAAACAAGTTAAGTGAAGGGGACTCACATGGGTTTTGTGAGGTGATGTGAATCTTTGTGGTAGGTATTGTTGGTTGGATTGTCATTATAGAAAAGCTGTGGTGTTTGGTGTTTCAATGATAGAAGAAGACCGGAAAAGACGTGCCAAGTGAAGGTGTATCATGGAATCTCACATGGTGGTTGTGAGTAGTGAATGCACATGTAGGTTTGGCGTGTGTGAAGAAAGGCAAGTATAGGTGCTTGTTGAGGGGGGGAGCATGGTAGGAGTGTTCCATCAACAAAAAAAAAAAAATGCCCAAAGGCTTGTGTTTGTCACGGAGGGTGAGTTCGTGTGGAGCATGGTAGGAGTGCTCAGAGAACTAGGAAAGTCCCTTAGATAACGTGATGCTTATCAAAGTTGGTGTAGACTTTGAAGTTTGCTTCCTTGGTTGAGAGGAGGTGTTATTTCCTAGGTGTAGAGAAAATGGATATATTGTCGGGTGAAAATCTCAATGTTTGCCTTCTTGGGGTTGAGAAGGTGGTGTGTTGGAGTTGGTGTAGACTCTGGTTTGCTTCCTTGGGGTAGAAGAAGTGTTGCTTTCTTGGTTAGGAGAAAGTGGTTTTATCAAGATTGGTGATCTTGGTGTTTGGTCTCCTTTGAAGAGGAGATGGTATTTCCTTGGTGAAGAGGAAATAGTTGTGTCGAAGTTGGTGTAGACTTTGGTGTGTTCCTCGGTGAAGAGGATTCGTATTGCACACAAGGGCATTGTGTGTGGGAAAGCAAGTGGAGTAAAAGATGTTTTGTTCGGGTGGGAGCATGGTGAGTTGTTCCAGGAGCAAAGATTAATTCCTTTGGCTTGAGAGTTATTATGGAGGGCGTGTTCGGTGTGAACAAAGCAAATTCCTTTGGCTGTGTTTGTTAGTCAGGGTTGGTGTAGATCTTGATGTTGGATCCTTGATGTAGAGGATGTGCCTAGCTTCCTTGGTGTTTAGGAGGTGGATGGTGTGTTTAGTGTTGATAATGTTGATGGTTCTTTCATTGGTTATGTGTGGACTCTTGGAGATAGGGTATTTCCGGGTTGGGAGATTGGATGGTTATTTAGAGAAGTTGCATGACAATGGATGTGGTTTGAGCATGTTTCGAGTGTGCTTGTTCTCACGCTTGAACCGATCTCCAAGTGGTAGATTTTTGGGTTTGGCAAAGTGTGGAGATCGGTTCAAGGCATAATGATGCACAACTTAGGAGTTTAAGCTATGGGCTATTGCTCGGTGTTAAGCAATGGTGGGTGGCAAAGGGCTGACTTCGGATGAGTGTATCTCAAAATCTATAGATGATTTTGAGGTGATTCAAGTTAAAGGTGATAGCTTGGCTATAAGCTCGTTTTGAAGAAGAAATGAGAAAGCTATGATCATTTTACGAAGTGATGTCAAGCTTTCCAGGTTTGCGCGCCCGCGCAAAAGGGGGCTGGAAATGCATGTTTTGATGGGAGTCAGAAGACTTTGCCTGTCCGCACAAGGTAAGCATAGCGCGTTCGCGCAAGGTGCTGCTGTAGCCCGATTTCTGCCACGCGTTATATTATTAGGCGTTGATGTTTCATTTATGCTCGAGTATATATATGCTCATAGCCGTCATGTATTACGAAAAAGGGGAAAAATGTAGAGAGTGAAAGAGAGGGCCTCAATGTAAAACCCAAACACTTAGGGTTTGAGTGTTTAAGAAGGTGAGTTTGGGGTGGGAGCTTTCATGGTGTTTGAAAGCTTATAATCTACATTGTAATTCCTCAAAGTATTACTCTATAGTGGATTGGTGGGTTTTTCTCCCGATTCTCGGGTTTCTCACGGTAAATTCTCCTTGTCTTGTTTGTTGCTTTTTTTTTCCGCCTTCGTTATTATTAATTGTTGTTAATCACAAATTAGCTAGCACATTCGTTAATCCTTTCATTTATCATTTACACCTCAAGACTCAGACTCAGACACTGTTAGATACAAGTACATATCCAAGGGTAAGACACGTTATTAGAATTTGTGGACATGATTCTATATTGGACATGGGTACTAAGGCATGGTGCTATGAAACATAGTATTGAATGTGTATACGCCTTCATGTAAGAAACATATCCAACATATACCTTTCAAGTTGACTAGATGAAGTCCGTGCAATGCACGGTTTGTTTGTATTTGTTTAAAACAAATATTTTTTGTATGTATGTGATAAAATTTGTTATTTTTATTCGTTATACGTAGTATATCATTTAATATTTTTATTTTAAAATAAATTGTGAATTTCCTCTCATTCATTATATATTTAGATAAAATTCCGAATACCAAAAGATAATATTTGATATTTAATTAATTTAAACTTTAAAATCTCATCGCCAATTTTGCTTATGTGGCATTTGAAATTAAATTATAAAAGAATTTACAAATCTCTTATTCAATTGACTATAACTAAAATTTATAATCCTACATGGCGCGTTAAGAAATTTTAATCTACGTGGCTCTCTAAAAACTCGGGAAAAAACTCGCCTTTATATATATATGATTTGTTTGCTAGTTCTAGTTGATATTCTGAGCTCAAGCACATTTATAAGCATAGACCGTGTAAGTTTATCCTCTATCTTGCTCTTTTTATATCTTTTTCTCAATGAATATTGAATATGTTGTTCAATCAGGTTTTACTAGAGCTTCAGTACAAGTTTCATATAAGTAAATCACATAAAGAGTTTCAAATTCATATGATACATCTATGCAATAACAGCAATTGTTACAGGACCAAAGTTACAGAGGAACTAAAATATGGAGAGAGAACATCAGATAGTGGGCAGCAAACCCTGAACATTTATGAAGCCTCTCCACCAAAATTAAGCATGTGGTTTTAAATTAGAAGTATAATTGTCACTCTGCATTTTTAAGCAAGCTTTTATTATGTCAAGGAACCTTGCCAGCTAAGCAAGAGAAGTGTAATGATATACCAGATGGGAAGACCAATGTATCAGCAACAAGAGTTAAAAGTCTTAATACGCAAAGCAGCCTATGAATTATAGCGTTGGTAACATAATAAATTATTATGCATCTTTAAGTTTAGCCTTGATATTAATATTTATTGCTCGGTCCTACAGAAATCTTTCAATATGATCAAGCAAAATTCTTGAAAAATGTGACATTCAAACTAAATGAATGAAAGAGTGTGGTAAAATCTAGCATAGCAAGTACCTCTTCAGCAAACTTTATCAATATGGTCGTCCTTGGCCGCAACTGCCCCTCCACTGGAACAAAATGAGCAGTCACAACAGCTGGAAAACCTGCACTATCCAAGACACCCTTCATTGGGTACCACTTGTCAGTAGAACATTCAAACTGTTAAAAAGTAGTCATCAAGTAGAGTAGTGGACAAAGTTAGACTAGATACCCGCACTATTCCAGCAACAAATGCACCACAGTTGAAAGTTCCCATATCTTTTGGTATTGATATAAACCTGAGATGTCACAGCGCAAATGATAGATCTAGGCTTGGCAGGTGAGCTAGAGAAAATGTTATCCAGCACAAGAAAATTAATCTTACCTGTTCACAAGGAGCTCTTTCTCACTGATCATATATTCATCTTCATGTTCAGTGCCCTTTTCAAGTGAATCAGCAACCTGCCATTGATAAAGTGGAATGTAGAAAGTCAGCAAAGGATATAACCAAGAAAGTATGACATCCCTAACCAAGAGGTTATACAGCAATAAGTATCACTCAGCTAATCAAAATCCCAATACATCATCATGTATAAAAACCTTTACAGTTTGTTTGGGTAATGAAAAGGGAAGGAAATGAAGGGGAGGTAGGGGAAAAGGAGAGAAGGGAAAGGGAGGGGAGGGGAGGGAATAATAACAAGTTTTTCTTCAAATCTCTCCATTGTTGGAGAGACCAATATCTTACAATTTAATCCCTCCATTTCTATCCCCCTCCAATTCCCTTCATCCTTCATTTGTTATCCATATGAAAGATACTCCATCCCTCCATTTCCCTTCCCTTCCCTTCCTTTCCTTTCCCTCCATTTCCTTCAATCCAAACACACTCTTACAGCACAACGATAGGGGAGGGAGGAGGGAGGGGAGAGTTCATTATAAATGACAAAAATAGATTGGTGTTATAGACCCGGTGTCCACCACCCTTGAAGGTGTATGCAAGGAAGAAAAGAGCAAAAGAAGGGGACAAGAATCAAGCAGCAGGTGACACTTCAGCACACCGTGACAAAAACAATTAAGAACAACTAAGAGAGTGGCAACCTTGGTCTGAGATGCTGTTGGTTAGGAGAAGCAGTAGAAGACAAAAGCAATTAAGAATTAGGTAACCTTCTGTAAATGGAGCTTGAGTATATAAAGAGGTTGTAATAGAACAGTAAGTTTTAATGCAGAAATTTTTTAGAGAATTCTTGAGAGTGATTAGTAGCCTAAAGCTACCGTGAGAGTGATAGCCTCAAGCTATTGAAACCCCTTTTGTAACCGTTGCCAGTGTTAATCAAATCAAGCATTCAAGCTTCCATCTTCATTGTCATGTTTACAATTACAAATTTACAATTATTAATTGAATTTCCTAGTCTATAACAGTGCTTCTTTCTTATACTTTTAGCATTGAGTCAGATGTGCAAATCCTTCATGGCATCCATGCTCATGTACAAAACAGCAAAAACCTGCAGTAAATCCATGAAGTTGTTCTAATTGAAAGTGCCCAAGATACCAATTTATTTGGTTTCCAGGGCTCCTGTGAGAGATTGGGGGCAAAATTGTTTGCCTAGGATCGAGACTTAATTTGGAATCCTATTAAACCAGACACTGCCACTCAACAAAAGTAGAGAACCTTGATACAAGGTGGAAATCAGAGTAGACCAGTAACGTCTTTCACAAGTCTCATTTGAGACTGAACATGGGAGCACTTGGGTTCCATATATACATTATAAAAGGAAGCCAGCATGGTGTAAAGATTGCAAAAAAATTGGCACATGAGACCTCAGTATGCAAGCAACAGTATAACATAGACAAGCAGAAAAGGTTAAGGAAGTTTGGGTTAATGTTTCTAGTACAAAGCTATATCTCAGATAGTGCCATTGGCTGACAGAATTACAGTGCGATTTTGTTTGTGGGGATCTTGGGCATCATCTCATGCAGGGAGATGCCAGTTGGTGAATTATGCTCTTTAGAAAGCCCACACCTACTGGGCTTATTTTTTATTCTTCCTAAGTGTTCTTGATATAATAAATGCTAAATACAGAATATCTTGGCATGGCAAGGCTACCAGAGCCAGTGTAACGTGTAGGTGGAGATTTGCTTTTCAATTACTCTAGCTGCCTGCCTCAGCTATTTAAAGGTGTTTAAACTCTATAACGAAAGATAAAAAAAACTTAGTAGGAATTTCATTTATGTTCAACATTTAACATTTACTATTTGATCATAAACTAAGTCAATTGGAGACTGTTAATGAAAAATAAAAGTGTCAAATCTTTAAAAAAAAAAACAGAGGCAGTAGAAGGGTCCAGAATCCTTCAAAACCAAATATATATTCCTCACCAACTAATACTTGCTCCGTTTCAAAAAGATTGCAACACTTTGACTAAAAATGTGAGAGCTTTTAGGCAAAGTGTTGCAATTTTTACAAAATGGAGGAAATAGCAAATGAATCTTATCATCTCAAAAGAGCAACAATGTCATATAATGAACTTGAGACATACACACCTTTCCAAACAACACCTTCCACACAGTGCTGTGTACAAAAGATAGAATACCAAGCAAGCGTGTCTCCCTTCTGTTACCCTGCAAAATTTACAAATATCAAGGAATGTAAAAGGTTATTCATATGTATCAAATTGTTAAATTGCATAATAATGTGTAACTCAAATGTCAAATCTATTTACATTTTTTTTTAATAAAAAAAAAAATCCAACTCTAAATACAATAATTCAAAAGGTATGTAAAAAAACAATCATGGAATTCCACACGGTTACTTATTTCCATCCAAAATGCACCAACAACAGTTATTCATATACCCAGTTGCAACTATTTCAGACAAGACAGCTCGCCGAACCATTTTTCCATAAAAATTAAATGAGGAAGGTTTCATGTAATCAAAGCAAATGTAGGTAAAAGTCATTGATTGACAGTGTAATTGCTGCTTACCTTATCCCTATGGCAAAGAAGTTCAAGAACTCGTGCTCCAACAGAATAGCCAGCATCTTCTAGCCTACACAAAGATTAATACCGGCTTTTGTCAGGCAAATAAGGTAAATCCTTATTCCTATGCTACTCACACTCCAGTTATCGGTGCCAAATACTGGTACATGTTCAACTGTCATACTAATTTTTTTTGTTACTTTCCATGATTTTGGTCCGAATTAAAATGTTATTTGAAATGTGTTTATACCCATGTCAAATACTTGACTTGGGTACTTAGATATATCTAGTCTAGAGCAAAATGAAAAGTCCGAGTAACATAGCTTATATGAACAAAAACAACAACTAATACTAAGTAGATGCAAAATTAACAACACCACCACCTTCGTTCGAGTTCGGCAATATTATCAACCTGAGTCTGATTATATTGTACAAGCTCCGAAAACAAGAACGCAAAAGCACTTAAGCTAACCTGCAATCGAATAATAAATCCAAGTATCAATTAATTAATTAATCAAACTTCCACGAATACAAAAACAGCCTCAAAATTAAAAATTGAAATGCTGAAAATGGGATCAATCAATCAATCAACAATATTGAATTAAGCATAAATAAAATTAAAATATATCGGAGATATTAAAGTGAAGCACCTCTTGTTTTCCCTTGCTTAAGGGTTTGTCGAGAACATTTGAGTATTGCTTGATCTTCCCTACTCCGATCATTGTTTCTGCTCTCTTTCTTCACAACACAATTTCTCTCTCTTCCACCTTTGTTTGAGGAAATGTCAAATAATCTGAAAAGATCGTTAATGAAATTTTGGGGAGGTGATTTGATGATGGTATTGAGTGAAAAGTAAATTTGTTAGATCAAAGGTTCTATCGTTCTACTTTGCTTTGTTAATTAAAGTTTGATTTTATTAAATTTGGTTGGCTTTTACAGTAGTTTTTTTTTTTTTTTTTTTTTTTTATTATTTTTTTTTTTTTAATCTTGGGTGGTTGTTTGTTGCCCTTCCTTGAGTTTTTTTGGCACCCTTGCTGGCCTTGTGTGTGGCTGGTTTTGTAAGTAGGTGGTGACTAGTGAGGGTTGTTTACCCTATAGGTGTACTTTTTTCAATTGAGAAGTGGATGGATTTGTGTCGTGTTTTTGCCAAAAACCATCTTCTTGCTAAGTTAAATGACAAGTATATTGTTTGTTTTTCAGATTCCTTGGTTTGTCTTGATGATGTATTAGTCCGTTCTAAAGTTTTCAAGGAGGAAGGTAACTCCTTATTTTAGGAACACAAGTTTAAACTTGCTTTTTCCAAGTACGATTTAGCGAGTAAAGTGTTATGTTTTAGTTTGTCAATGTACCTGGAACCTTTTGCTATGTTTCGATCTTTAGCCTTGGCTTTAAATCTCAATTTGACTGCGTGTGCCCTGAAGTTACAAGAATTTGATACTGAAATTAAATTATGTAAGTTTGTGTTGAGGTATATGATTCCTATTATACCAAAGGCTTATATAGAAGAGTCTTGGCTTTTAAGGGGTTATATTATCTTCTATCCGCCAAATTTGACCTTTTTAAAGCAGTTAATAGAATATGGAAGTATTAAAAGGATTATAGGAGTTTGAGACCCTGGAAGCTTTTGCTATGTTTCTATCTTTAGCCTTAAATTTAAATCTCAATTTGGTTGCGTGTGCCCTGAAATTCGATGCTAAAGTAAATTATGTATGTTTGTGTTGAGGTATGATTCCTGTCATACCAAAGGCTTATTTAGGAAAGTCTTGACTTTTAAGGGGTTAGGTTATCTTCTATCCGCCAAATCTGACCTTTTTAAGGCAGTTAATAGCATATGGAAGTATTAAAAGGATTACAGGAGGTTGAGAGTTCTTTGGGTTATGTCTCTTCTGTAGATTACACTTTAGGGGAAGTTGCTTCTTCAAACAACCAATGGGTTTGTGATATGAAGGTCATTTCCAAAGTGTTGTCCAATGGGGATAACATGAGATGTTAAAAAACCTGTTAGTGGGGTTAATCCGACAAAAAAATTTTATAATGATTTGGACATTGATTCTACTTCGAAGTCAATACAACCAGATAATGGTTTGCACCCGCATCGGTTTCGATCCCGTGGTTGTTTTGGTTCATCTCTTCAGATTACATCATCTAATTTGCAGCGTCTTATGCATGGTGATGTGTTTAACTTTTATCATTCGAGGTCTATATCAGTGACGACGTTTCAGGTACGGTTTGTCATAAGTAAAAGTCAAATCTGACATAGGTCCCCCTAGGTGAGAAATCCAGGGAAGCAGATATCTCTATTCCTTCGATTTCTCCTTTTCGTGGCTCGAAGCACCAAGCGGTTCCCTCTTAAAAGGTATTGAGTGTTTCTTCTCAATTGTCAACAGCCGATGTAGTTGTAAATCATGTTTTAGAAGAGTTGATCTCGACCAAAATATTTCAAGTTAGTTTGCCAAAAAGGACAATTGTTCTAGGATTTGTGGGTAGTCTTCGGGTACCTGAGTTCCAAGTTCCTTATTTTTACCATCAAGAATCAAGGTTTCGTCTCGCTTAAATCAATAATGGACTATTTCTTATTCTGGTCTTCGGATGACAGGTAAGATGTTTTGTGATAGGGTGTTTGTAGGTTGCAGTATCGATCATGTCGGCTAAAAGCGATGTCCAACTTTGTCTCTTTATGTGGAGTCCAACAAGTTAGCTTCTGTGAAGCGTGCTCGCATTGGTCCTTCCTGGGGTTTTGTTACTTAATGTAGTTATTGTTTCGGGGTTTTCTGATGTCCTGCGGGAGAGTTACAATTCCGAGACTGGAACCGGACGCCTGTACCTGCAAAATAACGGAGACTCCTGAGAGCTCCGCCTCCAACGGTCAAGTTAGTACTTGGTTAAGGAGTAATTAATACGGAAATTAAAGTAACAAGATCTCTCTAGGTGAGAGTGCTTAGTGTTGGTAATCTGCGTCGTTAGCGAGATTAGCCGGTTGTTGGTGTTCCGTAATATCTCTGTTCTTCTCTGCTTGATTTCTTGATTTCTCGATTCCCTAACTAATGAGGATTAATTAAGTATTTATAGCCTTGAGAAGCGTGCCACTCTCTAGGTTTAAGGTAAACCTAGGGCTGATCGGGCCTCTAGACTGGATTGGGCCTTGATGGCCGGTTTTCCCATTTGGCATGGGTGGACACGTGGCGTGCCTTGATTGGTCCGTAGAGGACGTATCTGTGATTGACACGTGGCAGGCTCCTATTGGCCTTCGTGAAGGACCCGTGGCGGAACCTGGTTGGTCCACTTGTCAGACGGTGATTGGTGGATAAAAATCCCCTAATCATTTGCCCCTCACAGGTGGCACGTGACTGGTCACGTGTCGCCTGTGACAGGTGTCGCACGGTGACAGGCGACGACCTGCTACAGGTGTCACCTTGCAAACGGCCGAGAGATTTTCCCGCCCAAATTTTGAATTTGGAAGCGACCTTTCGCCTTCTCACTTTGCCTATAAAAGGAAGTGCTGACTTCGGTCATTTTCACATTTGAGAACTTTGCGAGAACACTCGGACCCCTGAACTTGCTCTGACATTTCGAACCTTTTCTGCCTACCGCCCGTTCTGACAAGCCGACTGCACCGGACTTCCAAGACTTCATCAACCGTCACTCGTTCAGGTAACTCAGTTCTCTTACTCTTAATTATCTTTTTATTTTTTGAAATGGCACCACGGAAGCACACGACACGACCTAAGTTAGTGATCAGCCGGTCACCGGGGACGGCTGAATCTAGGACTAGGAGTGTCGCCTGCCCTTTTCTGGACCCATCTTTGCCCTTTATACAAAGTCCGACTGTATCTGTGTCTATGCAGAACGTGATGGCCAGAACGAAACAGACTGCTATGATATCAAACTCAGACGGCTCCTCCCAAAGGGTGCTCCTTAGTGAAACATCTGACCAGGCGCCAGATGTAGAATTGAAACGAGGCGACTGCCAAGCCGACAGTTCTGAGAGAGGGGCCAAGGTGGTCCCTTCCCATCTTACCGTTGACATGTCTAATTTTCCTCCTGCCTCTTCTAAGGGAGAGGAGGCGGGCCCCTCTGGGAGAGGGGAGGAGTCGTCCTCTTCGGACTCGTCAGAGGACGAGTCCGAGTTCAGCTCTTCTGGCCACAGTTCTCCAGGCTCAGAAGAAAGACATAGCCGCCTACAAGAGGCGAGACTTTCTCATGCAGTTGAGAAGGGGGACAATTGGGCGGAGCCGTCCGCCTCTTACAGAGAGGAAAACGCCCCCTACTACTGCATGGTACCCCGGGGCCGGATCGCAACCATGCAAGACAACGTGGCGAGCTTTATTGCCAACCACAGAATGGGCCCGGAATTTTTACTGTTCGTGCCGGATCCAGAAGACACTGTCGTCTGGCCGGCTGGTACTAGCTATGGTGACGGCTGCTTTGGCTGCTATGTGTCGGCCATCAAAGCTGGACTGCGCTTCCCATTACATCCGGCTGTTCAGCGGATTTTAGATGGGTATGATCTGGGGTTATGGCAGTTAGCCCCCAACTCTTGGGTAAACGTACTCGGCTATGTGGCCGGGTGCGAAATGTACGGGGTGGAGCCAAGCTTTGAGGCTTTCGCCCACATGAACTATCTCAGCCGGACCCCTAAGTCGGGAGGTACCGGCTGGTACCAATTAACAAGCCATAGGGGTTACCTCATGACGAGAGGTAAGGCGAACAAATGGAAGGATTGGCGGAACACCTTCCTTATCATTGAGGGTTCAGACACGGAGCTGAACCAACGTTTTAACAAGTGGAATAGGGATCCGCCTCTTCTCGCAGGCGGCCGCAGCATGCCGCCTGTTCCCCCAAAGGCTAAAAGAGAGATCCTAGACAAAGGACTCTTCAAAGTAGAGACTAGGGTGAACCCTACTTCAGGGGTACGAGAGCAAGTACCCCTAAACTGCGTCCCGAGCTTCAAGTGGCTCTATGACGAGTACTTTTTGGCCGCCTGTGGCCTCAGCAGTCGGTGCTCTAGAGGTAGCCGGCCTGACAAATACTCTGTTTTTTCACGCCTTGTTTACTTAGGATTTTTACTAACTTTGCTGTTTATTTCTTGCAGCTGACGCCATGAGTAAAATAACAGCATCCAAGACTGCGGCGGCCATGTTGCGGGCCTCGCTCATGCAACAGTCTTATGCCGACTCCCCCAACAAGGGGGCACCCTTGGTAAGCTTCGAAAACTCTTCCTCTTTTAGTTGTCTTATGCATATACTAACTCTTTTTGTTTTCAGTCTGGCACTCCAAGGGCTTCTTCCTCGCAACAGCCGGACCCCAAGGCCCGGAGGACGACTGTTGCAAGCTCTCCTGGGTCTTCCAGGAAAACAGTGGCGGCTGAGAAGCAGCCGGCCACTTCTTCTAAAACCCCGGCGGGGCCGCCTAGAAGTATGGACAATCACTTGTAAAAACTCACACTTGCTTCCTTCTTGACTAGGTCTAACTTGTTTTTTCCTTTCGCTTAATGCAGCCGGCCCTCACGGGCTTGACTTGGTTGAGGTAGCCAAGTCCATGGTTAAAGTAGTTCCTCCATCTGAAAGGGAGGCGGTCAGGGGTGCCGGCACCCTTGACCTTGATGGGATTTCAGGGGTCCTTGCTGAGGTATACTTAGCATATTTTTGAGTTTTTGAGTTCCAGGACGCCTGTTATCTTTTTTGTTTAGAAGCTGACGCCTGTTTTTCTTTGTACTTAGGCCCTGCTCCGAGTCAACAGCCTTCGCAAGCAGATTGATCGGAAAAACAAAGAGGTAAAGGCCGCAAAAGCTATGGCCGCCTCCAGCTGTGATAAGGCAATGTTTCAAATTGCCCAAAATGAAGTACTGACCATTGATCTTCTTTATTATCAGGCGCAGGCTACCGCCGCTGTTCGGGCTCAGTTAGAGGCGGCCCAAAAGAAGGTTGACAAGCTGGAGGCGACCGTCACAAACCTTAAGGCCGAGCTGAAACCTCTTCGCCAAAAAATGCACTCTTACGAAGCCATGGAGAAATCTTTGGCCAACGTAAAAGAACGCCTGGTGAACCAAGAGAAGAGTCTTACCCAAGAGCTCTCGGAAAAGGCCGAGCAAGAGAAGAAAGAGCTCGTCCGGGAGATGGTGGAAGACTCCGCTCAAATCCAGCGCATGACCTGGGAACGACTATTCCCCAGTGCCGACTTTGCCTCATGGGAAAGAACGTACCGCTAGTGTTCGGAAACATATAATCAAC